GGTCAAAAACACTGTGTAACCGGTTATGGGGAATTTCACTGTACTACCTAGCATCCAATTTATTTATACTGGACCGATGTCTATATGATTTAATCTCTTATCAGCTTCCTTTCGTACTCCTGCTGATCTATTTTTATAACAACCTATGCACTGAAAAGTGGTATTAACTAATATAGCGTATATATATGGGTCTAACCACGCTGATATTGAGAGAAAAACCACAAAATTAATAGGTGTTACACCCAACAACATAAACACAATAACTAACCGCAATTTCTTCAATTACTAAATAACCCAGTGGATGGAGGTACCACATAGAACTTGTTTAAAGCTGCCGATCTCCTTCATTTGATTCGATCTGATGCTGAAAGCAAAAAAAAAAAAAAACACTAAAAATGGTGGTAAAGTCAATACACTTTTCATCGTGGAGTTAAAATAGACAAAGTCTTACGAAATATGAATAAATAAATTGCATTCTTGTTAGTCTATTATTGGATAGACGAAAAAGTCTTTTCGTATTTTCTCAATACAGTCGTATATCTCCAGTTCTACCAATCACAATGTGTCGTACCATATAGTGTTGGAAAGGTGAGTTTTTAAGCTTTTTTTAACGAAAAGCAGTTCGGGAAATTTGAAAGAAAAAAAAAATTTGCTATTCGAAAATGAGAAAAAAAGAATAATTAAGAAATTCGCTATAATTTAAAAATTTTTGTAAAAAAGGGAAGAATGCCGCGCTAGCAACCAATGAAATTTGTGAAGTTCACGATGCTGTAGCACAACAATGGCTCACTTGCTTCCGTTCTGGAAATTTCCATTTAAATTGATGAAAGTTTTACACTGATGGAATAATGTCTCTAGCGGAAAAATTGCAAAAAATTGGTCTACCAAAATGGTACATATTTTTTAGTATAAATATAAAAAAATTAGTAGAAGTTTGATTAGAAATACGAAAAGACTTCGTCGAAAATATTGTAGTTAACATTTAAATCGGATAGAGATTTTGGCCTACTGTTAAGTACCGTGTGACAATGACTGCTCAAATTTGAGGTTTCAGAAAGGCTCTCTAATAGGAGTTGCACTATTAAGTGTATTTTATATGTTTTTATCGGTTTCAATAATTTTACTGTGCGAGATACATGTTCTTAAATGTAAAGAAAATAATGTTACTCATACGCCCTACAGCACATATAGCTTTAAGCCCTCAACAGGCTAACTTAAATTTGCCACACACTTTGTAACACCCTAAAGGAGTTAACGTTTTGTTTTTTTTTCTTTTTTATATCTAGCCCAATTAATTATTATGAAAAATAAACAAGTTTATAAAAAAATTAATAGTAATCTTGAAAATTTGTTATATTTTTTTTCGTCATAAAACTTATGATTCAACCTTCATCTGGCCTGTACTGTATGAAGATATGCACTCTGTTGATATATGTATAAAACAAAGTTGTAATTTTTTCAGATAAAACTATTGTTTGGTATTTCATTTCATTGATTTTTTGATTTACGACCCCGAAATATTTAATAACGTCCAAATAATGACAAACAGTGCATTCATAATACAAATATGTACATAAAAAAATAAACAGCAAGAAAATACCTGCAAGTTTGTAAATACCTTGACGCTAATTTATAAGACAAAGTAACCGCTACGTGTGGTCACAAACGTCATAACGTGGGTGAAGGTGAGTTATTTTTAAACTGTTATTACGGTTGGAGCTTTATAAAAAGTAAGTTGATTGTCATGTGAGAAGGAAAAATATTTATCTCAGCGATGTCCACCACTCAACAAAAGTTTTGTTGTAAAATTCTTAAGGTACTTATTTGACAGCTTTCCCCAACGGATTTCCATATCGAATCCAGTCAGAGGTCAAAGTGCCGTACATCATAATATTTATTAGTTGAGCGTTGAGATAATATTATTGCGCAAAAGACAAACTTGCTATCTATGAACGCATACAAAGAATATACGAATACCCCCCAATAACAGACTCGAAGGCATTTCACTGTTATTTAAATTAGAAGCCGAAGAATTTCAAGTGTTTCTAGCCACGACGAGTCACCTCTTCCAAGGTTAGCGCATCGCCTACAAACGCTCATAGCTATTTCCAACATTTATATGCGCGTCTTCAGCTGACGCGACCGGTGGTTATCTGTGCCACACGCCGGTGATAAACGCACCATGCGCGCCTGTTGTCTGCAGCCCCCTTTACAGCGCTATTGCCGCCCAGACACTGGTTCATGCCACGCGCGTGGCTGTTTTCCACTTTTTTTCCACTTCTTTTAATGAGGCCAACAGGAGTCACGCACATATACACACATAGGTATATCTACGTGGTGGTTTACTAGTGATGCAAAAGCACAGCGATTGGCGAAAATCGTAGGAGTGGCACAACAACAATAACGCTGCAACAAAAGCGAAAGAATAAACTGAGCGCACAGGAAAGTGTTGTTGGACACCAAGGTGTTGTTGGGCAGGTAGTGCTGGTTGTTTGTGGGTTGAAGAGATGGAAAAAAATGTTTTCATGCTTAAGGAAATGGGAAGGCGTCATTCTAATTATAATGCTTACTTATGTACACACATACATATGTACATACTTGTACGTATGGAGTGTTGCAAATACACGCCTCGTGTAAAAGCTAATTATGCAATTTAAACTGAAAAAAAAAGAACAGAAATATTCCGACTTAATTGCATCAGCTAAATATGGTATGCTCATCACACTGACGGCGCTTGTGGAAACGAATACACATTTTATAGCTTCTCTCTTTATGGATGCTAACTGTAAAACGCAATTGGCTCATACCGCCCACATGTGAAACACTACGACCATTCCTCTCAATTCCGTTCTCTCACATGCAACGCCGCTCGCCCTCTTCGAAAGTACAATATATAACGAAATGCCCTTGAGTTTGTCCTTTTCACCCTCAAACAAAAGCCAACACACATATTATTCGTTCTTTATTCGTGATGTTTAGGTTTGATGTGGTATTTTTCAGTTTTGGCCAGTTCCTTCATTCGTGGTTTGCTACAAAGTCAGTGTATGGATGACTGAAATTAGCGAGTAAACTCAGAAACAGAATTCGAAATTTAGGCTCTCCACTGAAGTGCGTGAAGACGTGGTCAAGTGAGAGTCAAAGTTACCAATACATATGTACTTACGGTAAGCATGTATGCATGGAAAATCTGCAAAGAGCGGCAACTGTGTTGGAACCGAAAAGTTGCTACCCGCAATACTGAGCAGAAAGCACAAAAAGCTTTCTTTGCCTGTCATGGGACCAACAAAACAGTATACTATATAAAAAATTTTTTGTGACGATAATGATTACCAGATAGACAGAAACAGCTGGTATAACAGTAAAGAAGGCTTGGCCGAAAAATGAAGAAAAGCCAATACTACAAAGAGCAGCAACAAAAAATACTAAACAACTAGGGGCTATAAAAAGACGTGAGCACAGTCGCGTACATATGTATTGAGAGTGCGCGAGTTTGCTGGGTGGTATTGGTCTGGACTGAATGTGACCGTTTCAATGAATGACTGCCGCTGTATTGACTGATGCCAACAACCCGTGACTCTCTCCAACAAAGTGTCGACCAAAGTGATTACGAGGTATAATGTAGCTATAAAGACGTGCACGTGTATATCTGTATAGATGCATATATGCATATGACTGCGCTAATGCAAAGTATGACGCGTTTGTTGCCTTGGCGCGTGTGGGTTTTATGGATTTGAAAAAAAGGAAGAGAAAAAAAGTACCGACACAAGCTTTTAACCCAGTGCTTGTTTATCTACATAAATTGACAAAAAATACCAAAAATAAGTAAACAAATAAAAGGTGTATATTACAGTGGTGGCGTGGAAAAAATAACTTGCAAATAAATTGAATAACGAATTAAAATAAAGAGTTGTAAGTTAATCATAGCAAGAAGTACCATAATTAAATCATAACACTTTTATCAGTTCTTTAAACTAAAATTCAACTGAGTTTAAAGAAATATCAAAAGTCAAATTAATTTTTATATCACTTCAAATAATTGAGTACTTATAACGAAGTGGACAAGACTGTAATGAACTCATTCCGTTGCATACTTTTAGGCACACAAGTTTTTAGATACGAAAATAAGCGAAAAACTTCTTAAATTTAAAAAATATTATAAATACGCTCGAAAAAAAAAATTAATGCATATTTATAGCAAGATAAAAAATAAATGTACATTAACACATTACAACAATAACAAAAAACATATGTCCAGTGCCTCCAACAGCGCTTCAACACAGCTATGGGTCTATTTATTAAACAATTTTCAGCGGCAATTTGGTTTAACAATGTTGTTTATCTTGTGGTTGCATACAAAAATTTTAATTTGTTTAATATATGCTTAAAAAATTAGAAAAAATAAATTTTCTATAGTGCATAATTGTTCAAAAACATGCCATTTGTATGAGGTAAATTAAAATTAGAATTTTTTTTTTGTCACGAGGACGAATTTTGTAGAAATTTTATAATACAAGGTGTACAGGGAAGCAGCACTTCGATTTCTACGTAAAAGTCGAAAATTTTGTGTCTGATTGGTGTACTAAAAAAAAAAGACAGATATTTCTTTAGGTATGGTGTAAACAAATTGCCAGAAAGGGGAAACTTGTTTAAAAAGTATTGGTCAATAACCTGAATAATTGATTTTTTACTTCCCCATTCAAAAATTAAATCCTAATTTTCACATAAACAACGCTTATTTCATACTGGTACACCAGTACGTGTAGACAAGTTTCTAATTTTGAATTACAAAATAGAAAATAGTCAAATTGACAAATATACATATGAGATTTATACGTTAAAAATGTTATAAATGACTATTGAAATTATGTTTAACTTTGGAAAATTATTGCTTTGGTAAAACGTTATTCATATGGAAATCCGAACATTTTATATAACTTTAAAATTTTTGATTTTAAATTACTTTATTACAAATTTCTTATTTATTATATTATGCTAGGTAGTTCTGGTGTAAAATAATATTTTATTTATTTAAACATCAACTTATCAAGTGCTTATAGCAAATTAACGAAATTAGTGCTAGAATTAAGCATTTTATATATTCTCTTTATTGCTATCCGTCTCATCTTTTTTACCTTTCTGTGTGCATTTTTCCAGTAACACATCAATTTCGTCGCATTGGCTTGATATGTCTTGAATAGCATCTTGAAATGCATCCAGTGTATTGAGAAATTCTTTTAGATATATTGCACTAACACGTAACTGCTTTTCCTTTTGACGTAATATTTCAAATTCATTATTTTTATGATAGTAATCGTAGTTATTTATGCAAAAATGAGTTTGTTGTTGCAAATCAGTGACTTTTTCCATTGCCTGTTCTATGTAAGCATTCATTGTGTTGTCTGAAAATACTGCATATTTTTCTTTAATATATTTACGGATAGAATATATCACAAAACTTACCTGTTATAACTTATAACAAAATAAAGAAACGCAAACTCTAATTAATTACACTTTTGAACAATTTTACGCCAAAACTATAATTGCGCGGGTACTAGTTGTCAAAATTTGATCGAGATTAATAACTGTAGCTGTGTTTCGTATGCAGCTAATTTATCATCAGCTGATTCGCGAATATGCTCAATTAGTTACATTTATTTTTGTAACTTTATACAAAAATGTGTCTTATTATCTCAATAATTTTTGGAAATGTAAATGAATCATATTTATTGTTATTAATTATCCTAATTAATGCTGTTAATTTAACTACCAAATAGAAAGTACGGCATCTCTGTTGCTAACTTGAATTTGTTTTGACATTTATCAAAATTACTCCAAAATTAATTTTCGTGAGAATCGTAGCACGTGGTGACAGCGCAAAAGTTTCCAAACAAAGTGTTTTTAATAGTGTTATTAAATAGAATAAAATGGTAATAATGAAAACTAAAAAAGTTAAGAAGAATTTTAAACCACGAAAATTTCAACATGCAACTAAAGAAGAGGAAAACGCGGACGTCGTACGTGAAGTAATCCCCAAAGATGTCCGTATCATAGCCCAGGAAGTGCAAATTGTGCGTTCGCTTGCATGTAATGATCTTAACAAACGTAATCGCCAAATCCGTAAGCTACGCAAATGGCTGCAAATACGGGCACGTAGTTCTTTTCCTTTCTCAGAGGAGGATTTTCTGCGCATTTGGAAAGGCCTATACTACAATATGTGGATGTCAGACAAACCATTGGTGCAAGAAGATTTGGCCGAACAATTAGGAAAATTAATTGAATGTTTCGACGGCGATGTGGCAACTAGTGTGAATTTTTTCGGCGCGTTCATGAAAACAATGTGCAATGAATGGTTTGGCATTGATCAATGGCGTATTGACAAATTCATGATGTTGGTACGACGAATGCTGCGTTATATGTTCCGTGTTTTGAGTGGCACTGGCTGGACTAAAGACTCCATACAATTATTTAATGAACATATGCAAATGACAGTTTTGGCTGAGGAAAGCCCCGCTATAGGCTTGACTATGCACTATCTAGACATTTTCTTTGAAGAATTGGCAAAAGTATCTGAAGGTAAAATTAACGCCGAACAAGTGGGGAACTTCGTGCTTCCATTTGTAACTTATATAGCTAAAGGCCGCAATGCTAAACTGATATCGCACTGCCGATCACAAGTGTTGGAACATTTACTGTATCAAAGTACTTTGGGCCGTGAATATTCCGAAAAATTTAATGCGTGGAAACTAATGGGTTTCCCCACTGAGTCAATCAACGACTTAGAATTAGTTGAGGATGATGCGGAGGAAAACGTTGAAGGCGAAGAAAATGAAAGAGCGGAACTACAGTCCAAAGAGAAATACTTAGATCCACGTGCAGGAAATGTGGATGTGTTCATGCCTGAGCTGCCATTAAATGCTAAATATGTGATTGATGAATTGGAAAGACTTTTATATAAAGATGAGGATATTACCACAAAAATTAGGATGCGTTTGCGTAAGCTATTGGAGGTTTTCAAAACCTATCAGGGTGGTGAATTTCCATTGGGAATAAAGAGTATGCCGCGCTTTAAGGCAGACAATGAAAAACCACTGATGAAAGAAAAAATAGAAAAATTAGAAAATGTTGAAAACGAACTGTTTGGTGTTGGACGAAAATTAAAGCAATTGAACAAAAGAAAACGCCGCAAGTTGCTCAAATCACTGAATTTCAGCGAAGTCGATGAGTCAAATTTCGATGAAACTATTATGAAAGCTTTACCCAAGCAATACCTAAAGGAAAGGAAAAGAAAATCGAATGCGTTCATGGATAACTGGGTAGAAGAAGAATTAGGTGCAGAAGATATATTGCCAAAGAAGAAACAGAAAAAGAAGAAGAACAAGGCCGAAAAATCTAACGGATTTACAGATCTTGAAGCAGAAGAGACTAGTAATATTGATGGCATTAAAGACAACGCTCAAGATGTAGACGACCGCAAGGTTCCAACACAAAGTGACAAAATAGAGGATGAAAAACGGCCAAAAACACCAAAAAGTAAAGACCTAACTACCGCACAGGCAACAACAACAGAACAGCAGCAAGAAAACGTTGATAACAATCCTAAAAAGGAAAAAGAAGGTTCAGCTAAAACCGCTAAATCAGAGCGGGATACGCCATTGGCAGAAGGCGAAATAGAATACTTCATACCATCACGAAAAATACAATTGAAAAATGCCAACGCAAATCTTGTGCTAAATCCTTTGGCGAAGAAGCTGCAAAATAATGTATCCACACCGGTGAATGCAAAGAAAGGAACTTTTACAGCGAACAACTCCACACCAGCGGGCAGCATAAAGCGGGTGAAAATAGCTCTTAAACACAACACTGCGCAAAATCCCAGTGAGTACATAAAGCAAATTAAGAGTTCTCCAAATTTGCCATATGATGCAGACAAGAAGCCTGGAAAAGGCTTATTGAAACCCAACTCAATGCCTAGTCCAATTAATCCATTTTACAAAAAGAAAATTGGCTTACGACTAGCTAATGATTCAATTTGAACTGTGTGAGATGTACCCGGGATTATCTGCGTGAAGATTTTTATATTTTAATTCTATAGAAGTTAAGTAAATTAAACTAATAATACATACGGACGTATGTATATGTTTCACGATTGAATTGTGTCAATTGAATATAAATTAAATACGTGTATTAAAGTTTTTAAACATGTAAAATAAGTTTTATTACTGCTTTTTAGAAGTAAAACACTTAAAGAAATAATTATAGCTTCCCCAATGAACCTTGAGATATTATTATACGCATCTAGTCGAACTCGAAAACGGGTTTGCCTTCATTGTCCCATGTGTTCTTGCACTTACGGAATGCACACACAAGATAAAGAGCTGTAAAAAAAATGATAGGGTTTAAGTGCACAATCTATATATAAGTGGTTGTTTATTGGTGGACCAAAAAAAAATAATTAATGCAAATAGTTTGTAAACCTGTGTGGGTAATATTCGATATTAAGCCAGAATAAATTATTAGATATTTACTTGTAGCTTCCCATTCAGACTGGGAGAGGGTTCCTACGGCTTTTGACGAACCTCCATTGAAATATCTCTGTAAATGCTGAAACTCGGGATCTTTCCCTCGTCGATTTGGTATTACAGTTTCCAAACCATTCATGCGTTGCAGCAATGAGCGACCTGTAAATAATTATTTACATAAATATATTTGTATATTTGCAAAAAAAAAAAAACATGTGTCACCCTTATCCAAAGACTCTTTGTAGTAATCAGCAAAAGTTGCTTTCCGCTCAAGTTTTAAACCTTGTTTGCGACACAATTTAACGAATGTTGGAAAATGCACTAAAAATTCTGGGCAATCGACGACTCCCTCTAAATGAAATTGATATTTAGCACCAAAAAGTGGTGGAGGATCTGTGTCACATATGAAATCGATTTTATAAATATCATTGCCGATACTGCGAGGATTTGGCGATTGACGCAAACGACGCATAATTTCATTTGCGTCCGGAATAGTCGCTATAAAATATCCACCCGGTTGCAAGCATTCGGCGGCATTGCGAACCATGCACTCAGCTTGAGTAAGAGACTCAAAGGAGTAGTGAAATGCAAATTGACATGACACTAAATTCAATTTAATTGATTTATCTTTGTAGCGCTCACGTAAACGTACTAAAGTGGCATCACAGGCAAAGAATTCAGCAGAGAATTTGGTAGCGAATTTTGATTTATCCGCACGCGATTGCATTTCCTCATAACGCTTTTTACATTGGTCCACAGACACCTCAGCAATATCGGTACAAATAAGATGGGTTATATTGGCCTTTTCCCATTTGAGAAGATCACCGCCTTTACCGCAACATAAATCTAGAACGCGCATAGGATCACCTATACGTTGTTGTGCTTTAATGCGTGCTAAATACTCTGCGATTAGTTGACTCTTTAACCAGTTGTTAAAGTTTCGCATGTACACAATACGCGACAGAAGGCGCTCCTTACGCCCGGTTTCCTTTAATTCATTATAATGCGAAGCAACAATGCGCATATTGCCATGAGTTATGGGTTCAGCAACATCCTCCTCCGGACCGCCACTGTCACTTTCCTCATTTGTAGCGCCATCCGTTTGTTTGGCAGTGTTTTCAATAAATCGCCGCGGAATAGGATCGTCGCTGTCATCACTTTCAGCTGAAAGCGAGACTACCTGTTGTTCCAATCTAATATTTTGATACCCAGTGGAAGTTGATTGCAATTTTTGTGCATTCTCACCATCGCTACTGTCATCATCTTCATCTTTACTACTATAGCTTTCAGTTATTTCAGTCATTGAACACGATACAATAAACAATAAAGAGATTTAACAATCAAGAAAAATTAGTATGTAATTGAACTGAAAATAAATTGACAACTGATTTTCAGTAATGAGATGTGTCAAACAAATATGGAGTGTGTTTCATGTGCTCTATGCTCACCACTTTTGGAACAGTTCCCATTAAAGCGCTGCCACTAATTACCACGTAATTATTAATGAATCAATATTATTAACTTATACTATATACAAATATCAACGTACTCATGTAATCACCAATGCAATTCAATTATATTAGCTTTAACTTTTATTTTATGTTACACTTTCATATATTTCGATGAGTTTCACTAGTTTTTTTTTTTACCATTTGCTCAATAGCTGGCCACCTTAATAAGTTTTCACCACAGCTTTGCTTATTTTTTTTTTATTGACAGTGGTCAAAGACTACATTGAATAGGTTATTTTACTCAGTAATTGTTTTTATTGTTGTTTAGATTTTGTGTGAAGTCGTTAGACTTCTTTAGTTTAACAGCTTTAATAACTTGCAACGGCATAGTCAAATAAACAGCAAGTATCGCGTATAATATTACATATAGTGTGTGCATGTATGGATGAGAAAAAATAACTATTTAAAAGATAATTGTCAAATCAAGTTCATCATTATGGAAATTTGAAATATGCATAAACACTTTTTGAGTTTGGCAGATAAGATAAGCTAAAGTCTGCGCGTGAATTATGATTAGTGATAAATAATATTAAGACAAGTTGAAGAAGATTGCTGTGTGTACAGCCAAAGTGAAATTCTTATACAAAAGCGAACATGTCGGAAATTGGAGATCTCAATGCTACAAAAGAGGCAGCAACAAGAGAATGGATAGAGCAGCAGGAGCAACTTGGCCATACGGAAATAGAGGAGGATGATATTTCGTCCATAGCGGAATCTTCAATAATTTCTAGCAGTGATGGCGACTATATAACAGAAGCTGAAGAGGATTTTGATCTAACAAATAATACATTAACCACTACAGTATTGGGTAGTCAGTATAGCAAGTATTAGTTGTTTAATGTAACGCAGTAAAATACTAATTTGTTTAAATTTTTGGTTAAACTAAACAGCGCCCACTGATATATCTGTGGTAATAGAAAATCTGCGACAGTTGCTTAATTCTATAAATAGTGTACAGACATTGGAAAATGTGCATATTGAAAATTCTTCAAATGTCTCCATCGGTAACGTCACAAACATTAATGGCAACATACAGATAATTCAGCGCATTAAAAAACAACTACCGCTCACAACGCGACAAACTTCTACCAACAAAAACAATAATGATTCGCCAATAACACCCGTTAGTGAGGAACAAGAGGAGCGCGTCAAACGAGATGCATTTATCGACCGCATAAGTAAGTTTCGATTGTAAAATTTATGTGTGATGATTACTATTATTATTATTTAAATATTTCTTAGATTGACTGTACTATTTTACGTTTTTTAGAGTATAAAATACCCAAAGAGCTATGTGCCGTCATTCCACGGAGTACTTGGCTTGCCCAAAAGCCCATGGAGGAGTATGATTACATAGAAGAGCCGGTGAAGTTAGTGATTGTAGGTAAGTATCTTAAATCCATTGTGTGATTATGATGCAAGATTGGTTTAAATAAAATATGTGTATATAATTGGCAGCGCATACCGCGACAGAGAGCTCGGAGAAGCAAGCGATAAATGTGCGCATAATACGAGACATACAGGTAAAATAAATTTTTTCTTAAATTATCTGTGTTCTAACAAGAATACTATACAATATATATGTATGAGATTGTAGGAAAATTTCGTTCCGTTAAGTGGATCTGTGATAAGACAATGTATGGAAGTGATATGATAAAATATTTGCAAGCTTGAGCTTTCTGTCTTTGCTTTCATTCTGCTTATTTATTATTTTCGAAAGATTGTTAAAGCGAGTATTAAACTTATTCTTTTCTGAAAAGAAATATTCTTTGCAAATGCAAATGAACAATTGTATTGAAAATAATAATTATCATATTCTCTCTTAGTGCTTTCACATCGAATCACGCGAATGGAACGATATCGCGTACAACTTTCTAGTCGGTTGTGATGGCAATGTTTACGAAGGCCGCGGATGGGGTGTGGTGGGTGCTCACACAATTGGCTATAATTCAAAATCCATGGGTATTTCTTTCATTGGGTGCTTCATGCGACAATTACCCACCAAAGCAGCGTTGAATGCTTGCAAAAACTTTTTGAAACGGTTAGTAGCTTCTAAAATCTTATGTGCTGTGTGCGCTCATTCAATTCCGTTTTGTAGAGGTGTTGAGGAAGGCCATCTGGCGCCAGATTACAAACTTATTGCGCATTGTCAGTGTCGTTCGACAGAGAGCCCAGGCCGCAAGTTGTATGAGGAGTTGCAAACGTGGGAACATTTCTACAATATTGGCGAAGAGGAGGACAATGAATAGTATGCAACTTGATAAAATGAATTTAAGGAACCAAACAAACTTTGGAGCTGTGCACGTTACTATTAATTGTCACAATTGATTTGAATAATTACATTCTCTCTATTTACAATAAACTTTAAATATTGTCGGTTTACACTAATATCTACTTGCATAAAATGCATTTAATGTACCTAAGATTTTTTAATATAATAAAAAATATGTTTTTTATTCATTTGTATTTAGGAATTTCTTAATTTATTTATTACTTGAGCGTATACAGAAACGGAAATTCCTGTAAAACAACTGAAATGAACCATGATGTCGTCGGTTGCTACTGAAAAATGCGATAGTATACCCAAAGGAGACTTAAGCCTCTTCAGTAACGCGGCCTGTAAAATAAATAAAATTATTACACTTATTAGTTCAGAAGTAAGCATGCAAATAAAATAAGCGATAAACAAGGAATTTATACAACAAAAAAAAAAAAAAAGTACAAATGTTTGCATACATGTCAACAAACCGCAGCCAAGGTGATAAGGCGCGTTGGACCAGTGATTTTGAGGCCGACTTTAAAAACATCTTGTTAGATACAATAGGGGCAATTAGTAAAAAAAAATAATAATAATTAAATAAAAATCAAAGCACTTAATAATAAAACAAATCAATGCAGTAACTCATTTTCGATTTTTTGCTTTGTATTCGCAACCAAGTCTTTAAAGAACACTAATTTGTCGGAAGGCGATAGTTATGCGTGGGAAGCAACAGTTATGATTTGTCTCTGCTTTTTAATTTTTTCAAAGCTAAAAAATATGCATATTTGTTAAATTATGTGGGGAATCACTGTTCGAAAGTCTTATATTATTCATCGATTATTTGATTAATGTATTTTTTTTCTGTTTAGGGGGAATTTTCATGATTGCTGCGGCATATTGCGTGACAGAGGGGTGCTGTTAAGTAATAAACATATCTTCTAAAACTGTTTGTTTGTTAGTGGCAATTTGGGCATATCAACAAATAAATTGGCAAGAAAGTTGCAGTTGATTTTCACTTACAACATCACATACGTTGTTTAGGCTAATATAAATAACTAGCTTGTGGCTACTTTACTTCTCATCTGAAAATTTAATATGATATACAGGTTTAAAGAAAATAGTTTAAAAACCAAGAACTATAAAATTATAAACACAATTTGTAACCTAAATGAATTTTAAACTATATTTGATTATAATACATACGTGCAGGTTTGCCGTTGGCCCATGGTGTGAACTTCACATGAGTCTCGTTGCGTTTAGCGGCCTGTAATTAATGGTAAAAGGTGGATAACTTATTTGCCCATCACTAAGGATTTATAACTTTTTCAACTTACATCGCTACGCAGGTTAGCCTTCAGTGATTGGCGCACAACACGAGCGCAGATGTTAGAGTATTGGATGTAGCTGGAAAAGTATAAAAGTTATGCCATGTTCCATTGCAATTACGTAATGTGTGTTAGTAATAAAACAGTACATTTAAATTTGTGCCAAATATTTCATTACTGCTTTCAAATTGATTTATGCTACTTACGTAAGTCCAGCGGCTCTCCATGCGTTAGTCATTTTGCTATGATTTTATTTTTTGCTTGTAACACAATTAGAAAAAATTGGCAAAACTTCTGCACTCGCTGATACTGCCGTATTTCTTGTCAAAAAAAACTGCTGTATGACAGCTGGAAATCTGACAGTTGCTTTGACAACCTATGCTGCTTCTTCACCAAAGCACAATACACGGTTGCAATGACATGTTCCACATAGGGTGATGAGTGCGTGGCACTGGGATCACAAAATAAAATTTAAATATTTGCGAAGAAAACGTTTAAGTAAACATGAGCTTTGTTGCATACTTTTTGGCTTACCATTCAACCTATGTTATATTAATTTCTGTTGTCCATGGCGTATGCGTGATTTTTATTGCTTTAAGTAATGCATAGGAAAACATGAGCACACATGCTCAAACATGTACGTAATTTTTAAATATTATTGCGATAAGGTGTTATAAGCAAAATATGTAAGTACGCAAGAATACTTATTTATATAAGTAATTTATAAAAAATTGAGAATAGAATGTATGAATATATTCTCAATTCAGGAGTATCAATTAATTTGAATAAAACAAAAAAAATGTGTCAAAGTTTGTGCAGAATGCAGTAACAAAATATGTTCAATCATTTGTTATGAAAGACATTTCAGATAAAAATTCAGTTGTTTAATTTATCCCACTCGCATGTTTTTTGAGTTCCGACCGATAGACGGAAATCATGATATTCGGCATGTGGCACTAGAGAAATGTGTAGCTTATCATAAAAGAAAAAATGCAATAAAAATCTTAAAATAGATTCTTGTGACTTCTTTGACGCATATAAATAAGTATTCTGCCAAGAATTCGTGATCACACGCGCCACAAAGCGTTTAAGCTGATACACGCAAGGCTTTTATGGCCCCAAGCAGCGCACACCTTTTGCATTTTATAGTAATTACTCTCAAACAATAAAATAATAAGATATTATGGCGTCACAGTGTTATAGAGACATTTTCTGGTGGTCTTTTATCTGCACTCATATAAATGTACGAGAGGCGCCTAGACATTGCGTAAGCTGGACGATCGTTGTTCGACCTTCAGTATTTGCG